GTGGAAAAAAATATCTTAGATGCTTAAAATAGTTGAGGGAAATGCACGGCATTCTTTGACAGCTCAGCGAACAGTGGGTCAAACTGGAAACAAAAAGAAAGAAAAAAAAAAAATCACACCTGCCTCTTCATGCCAACAATATCAAAGTCTGGGCCCAACTGTTACAGCATGAGTCAGAGTAGCTATAGCAACACATTGTCTTAGTTACATTTACGCAGTTTCTCATAATTGTCAAAATAATGGTCATCGCTGACGGTAACACATTTGTCACTGCTGAGCACAATTTAAGAAAACAACAGCTGTAAAAATCCAAGGCGTGTATCACACAGCTTTCACACCGATCTGTTGATTATTTCAACCTGGCTATCACATTGTCACAGCAGTGGAAATGAGCTAAAATCATCATGCATTCTGCTTGGAGCTGCACAGGAAGAAAAATATCCCATCATGTCCAACACTTTGACTTCTACTCAGCCAAAGAGCACAAACACAGGTTTGTGTAATTGTAGACCAACAAGGGCACATCCTGCACCGCCTGCTATCAACCGAACCCGCCTCCGTGTGATACAGAAAGGTAGAGAACTGCGCTTAAAGCAGCGCTATAACAAAACATGATGGGCTCTGATGTTTTCATCCATTTATTTTGGGCTCCCTGAAGAAAAAAGAAAAAAAACACTCTCACAGACCCAGGTGATATTGACGTCTGCGCTTGACATTTCTCCCATCACTGGCAGAGATGAGAGCGTTAAAAGGCCGGTGGGATGCATTTCTAAAAACTCCTCGGATGTCTGGAGTGCCTGGGTGAAAGGCCGAGCGAAGAGATTCGGGTTGTGGGGAAATGAAGCCGGGCAGATTTCAGCAATGCTCTTCAGGCGCTGTAATCTGCAGGCCAGTCGAGAAAAAAAAAAAAAGCCATCATCTAACCACGCTTGAAGACTGTACTTTGGAAGGAATGTCTGGTGAGGACGTAATTCAGCTGTTTCGCCCGCTGCAGTCCATCTCAGGTTCAATCTCATCATTACACATGCAAAAGAGAAATGAAAGGAGGCCAGCAACATTTCCACAACAAATGAAGGCGGACGTGGCCTGTGGCGGAGTGTCATTGCGTTTGTAGGGACGGCTATTCGTGGTATGTGACGTATTATCTACTATGAAATACATGACTTCTTCTGGTTACTACTTTGTGTTGTTGAAGCTGAAATCAGTCACGTTTTTTAAATCACAATCTGATTAGTATTTTGGCTCCATGTGTAGAGGGCTGCATACAGATTAAACACACAATATATAGGGTTAAATGTGAGCTAAGATAAAGCGTAGCTATGCTACAGATGTTATGGGTGTCGATCTTCTCATGTAAGCCTTAGCAAGAAAGAAAATGAACATATTTGATAAACTATCAAACTATTCCTTTAAATCAAAAATGTGATTTGTGCAAAAAGGGTCAAACGGCTGAAGCATTTAAGACTTTAGTAAAAAAAAATTTGCTTATAGGACAAAAATAAGAAGTGCTTTTAAAAGAGGCCCCATCAGACCTACTGTAAGGCCTGTGGACTCATTTTTAAAATACCTCGCTAGCGCACAAACACACATCCATCCATCAGAAACATAACCTTGGAGGTGGTACCGATGGTTTCCCACCTCCAGCATACTCTTTTGAAATGCTGAGCCAGGTCTTGTAAAAACAAAAACAAAAAGCTGCAAAATAAGCACGGAGGAAATGTGTCGAGCCGGATGCCTCTGTTGGCGACGCAACAACTGCCTGGGATTCTGATCCAAAATTCTATAGATAGATATGCAAGCTGGCTCGTAGGATCATCGAGTTAAAGGGACCCCGGGGCCGTGAAGGGAGCCGCCGCTAGATTGGAACAGCAGTTTCCCAGGTGCACAGACAGATACTGATGACGGGCTGCACATCACAAGGATGCTGCGGCCCGTCAGCTCCGCGCTGCTGCTTCTGTTTACACATTTCCCGAGCGGGGAGCCCGTCGTCACTTTGGCGTGTCCTTGAGAGAAGTTGGGTTAGTGCTGAGTAGAGCGATGAGCTGGGAGATGAGGCCTTTAATTAGCTCCAAGGCGGGGTGATAATTGATCATCTCCCTCAACTCATTCTACCATGAAGGTCTTGCCACCATTAAAAACAAAACGCACGTCACGACGCCTCGAAAACTCAAAACCACAAGTAACAATTGGGCATCAAAATAACGCTCCACATGAGGTGCGACTCCAAACGTAGACAGAAATCCACCGAATAAATTGACACTCCTCAGACGATGACTGGCACAACAAAAACACAGAATTAGAATACTGAGACGAAATGAGGCGCCCGTCAAAATGCAACAGATACTTTATATTTTGCAGAGTTTCATTGCATATTAAAACTTATTTATCTTGTTTTTTCCCCCCACATGGAAGCCTGGGGAATAGAAATGGACTCTTGTCGCTACTATTGGCATTTCAGGAATTAAGTAAGCAGTGATATAATTAGCATTCATGAGTCAAGTAATTAAAACATCAATGGAACTAAGCGATGCTGTTAAGGCACTTGTGTGCTCTCTGCTCGGTCTCCAGCAGTCAGCGTTTAGTCTGTGCAGTGAGACAGGTTTCTGTGAAGCCACTGTCTGCACTCACTATCACGCTGATATGCATGTACAGTATTTGTGTCGACAAGCCAGAAATACGCTCTTTTCATTTTTAGTCACCATCCAGATGTCTCTCTTAGTTTGTGGGGAAAAATTACCCAAAACAAGAACACTTTCAACTTTTCAACTCCTGTCCTGAGGGGAGAGTGTGTGAAAACATCTGCAAACAGCGCGTCGCCCACTGAAACAGCGTCCTTAAAACCGGACTCGTCACCTGGAGAATCCCTCTAACGAGGTTTATCGTGGCCAGCCACACATAGCTCACAGACAAACTGTAATCCTCACACAAGTTCGAAGCATTTGAGAAATTCTTAACATTGAAATAAAACATGACAAAAACTGCAAGGTGACATGTTTTTTTGGGGAGGTATTTCTGCTTTAAACTTCCCTTTTCTCTTGAGAACATCAGGTGATTGAAGCCATGCAGTGAAAGTACGTCACTCAGTGGCACAATGTAGCCTAATGAAAACTGTTACAAAACCAAATTAAGCTTCACTTATTATTATTATTATAATGAATTATACAGGAGGAGGGACAACCTGGACGGCAGGTGTAATATATATATATATATATATATATATATATATATACACACACACACACACACACACACACACACACACACACACAGTATATATATGATCTGTTTTCCATCACACTTCCCTCTCCACTCCTACATCATTTTGTTAAAAACCTTCAGCGGCTGACAAGAACCCCTTCTCTCGACATATTGCTTGATCCCACCAGCTGTCAGTACTGATTTAGCTCGTCCAGAACATCATTCATACCGGTAGGTGTGAGGTATTTAAAGCATATACTATATAATCATCTGCATGTCTGTTAAAGCCATATGTGCACATGGAGAGGGAAAGAGGAGACTGGGGGAAATCCACACAAGCTTCAATTAACATGAGACAACTGTAATCTGTTGAACAGCTGCATGCGGCTGGGTGAAAAAAAATGACAAATTCTGGTTTCCCCTCGTTGTTCTCCTGATAACACATAGCTGCACCATTGTTAAAAACGCGTACTAAGTTGACGAGGGCCGCTGAAAACAGTGGCTGGCTGTTTTTTTTGGGGGGGGGGGAAACACTGGCGCCGAAGATGGCGTTGCACCAAAAGCAACTGTCAACTCGCCCACACTTCACCAGACAGGTGCGAAGGCAAACACAAGAGCGGGAGGAAGTAACGTGAAGGTGAAATCAAGACAATCACAAAAAAAAAAAAAAAGAAGAAAAGAAATGTTGAGTAACCGAGACGTGGTCCGAGGAGGAAACAAACAGTGGAGCACAGTGTGGATGTTATTCACAGGGCCGTGCTTCCCCCCCTCTCTGTACATGAGCTATGCAGACAACAAAACATTCCTCAGCCGGATCACACTCATACGGTATGTCCTTAACCTCGCTGACACTGAACATCTCAGGTTTCTCCAAATGAACCCTGTGTGTATGAATTCCTGAGAGGCCTGACATGACTGTGCCCCCCCCCCCCCCCCCCACCCCACCCCACCTCCCCATGCATTCTACCTGCCTGTCTCCACATTCATTTTTGTGCTGATGAGTGTGCCACCACCTCCCCGCGTTAGCCGCAACCTGAAAAGGTAAAACACACGAAGGCTGAGGCTTTACATTCAGAGAGCTGTGCTCAAATTAGAGCCATCTATCTATGAACCCATCACCAGTAATCCCCCCCCAAAGGCAACGGGCATCACTGCAAGAAGAACACTCACAAAATTGATCTGTCAAGTAAAATAAGATTAGATTCAAGTTAAGAGGCATTGTGTGAATAAGTCTACATGACATCGTTGCATGGGAATAAGCAGCAGACATAGAGAGAGATGGGCACACAGCACACACGTTTGGAGGAGAGTTTGCCTGCACTTTTTTCACAGGGTCAGAAATCACAATTTTCAGTATTAAGGCATATGCCTGCTCTGACACTGAGCTCTGTGTCAACACAGGACATGGAGCGTTCCCTCCACAGCACTCCCTGTATTGCAGGTTAGTTATTGGATGTCGCAACGCGCGTGGACAGCAGTTGTGCGGCTGCGATAACAAGTTCTGCCGGTTGTAACGATTCATTCCTTACAGGAGTAGGTCAAGTGCTTCAGAAACACGCCATGTTTAACTTAAGAAGAAGAAGAAAACGTGTTATACGAGGAGGAATTGTAGGTGAACTCGTCGTTTAGAGAAAATTAGGCTAAAAACAAATAGACGTTTAGCAAGTTCCATGAACGAATATAAAGGTTTTTTTGTTTCTTAGTGGTAGTAATTAGAAGAACAGCTTATAGGCAAGTTCACATGTGGGTCGTAGCCCTGTAGCCAACACGAAAGGACACCGTTTGGACTCAACTTCACCCACCTTCTCCTTGCTGTCGTGGTCCGAGGGAGGTGAAGTTGGCGACTTAACGCTCCCTACAGCAACAGCTTGGGTGACTGTGACACCGCCGCCTGGAGCTGGGCTGCTCTTTTCGATTGTTTCCACCTTGATAAGTCGGTGTTTTGGCGACACATACTTGATGTCCTGCGAACCCCCACTGTTCAAGCTCGGGCCAAACGAAATGTTTCCACCTGGAGTGTACGGGTCCTCGAAGTCCAGCTCCTTCTGTAGTTTGTACGCAGCGAGGATGTCCGGTTGAGCGGGGCTCGGGAAGGTGGCTCCGGAGCTTGTGTGTTGGTAGCCAGGCGCACCGGGCACACCGGTGTGACAGTTTCTGTAGTCCGGTTTCGGAGGCGCCGGAGGGGGTGCTTTGGTAGTTTTGAATCCTAGGTGCTCCTTGAACCACTTGGCCATGCTGCCAGTGCATCGCTCTCAAAGTCAATGAATGTAGTTTTAGTTCCACCTTTCACTGCCGGCGGAGCCCGAGTGCGTTCGTCAAAGTGGGATCCTCGGGTCACCCGCGGCCAGCCGACCGGTGTCGGAGCGTGTCGCCAGTCTCGTGCGACTCCGTCGGTCCGGAGAGGAGTGCGCGAGCAGAGAGAGAGAGGGGGGGGGGGGCTTGAGCGCGGTCACAGGCACTTTCTGATCTGCCCTGCCGCAACTCTGTCACTCACCGCTCGGCCGCCCGACCACGTCAGGTTTCCAGACTACGCAGCATGGGAGCGCTTGTGCAAGAGGAACACACGCCCCCCTCCACCCTCCACAACCTGCCCTCCCCTACCTGAGAACATTCACTGCCACCTACCGGACTTCTGAAAGCCCGCTGACTGTTGACTACTGAGAATACCAGCCACCGCTGCATTAATGAATGTGTTAAAAAAATAAATAAAAAAGCACACAAGCACCGAGCCCACATCTGCTGAGCGCCTTGTCCCGGGTGAGGATTATTGGTGTTAAATACAGGCTTGTGATGCCAGTGGTGGAAAAATAAAATTGACTCCAAGTTTTGCTCTAACATCCTGTAAGTGTGCATGTTTTTAAGACCCATCGTTGGCCCCTGACTCCAATTTTCTAACCAGTAGGCTACCACGGGGTAATTTAAATCCTCGGACATAAACCGTATATGTGTGGTGTTGCATTTAGGTAAAATGAGTCCTGAAAAAAAAGATTGGGCTTAATATAAAGAAAAAAAATGAGTGGAAATATTTCCCATTTCTCTTCAAACGTCAACAGAAATCTATACTTTAACAAAGTAATACAAATGTTTGCTTAAAAGCCCTTCGGGTCAACATTCTTTCCACCAAAAGGCTTCAAGGGTAGAGTGTCCTATGCTCATTCTCAGTGATCTCATGTCCAGATGGCCACTGCAGACTGTTTTAATTGCAAATTGCATTGCAAATGACCGCTGGAGAGAGATGCTGGAGCCTATATTAACTCTGGACGCTGTTCTAGCTAAGTTCATTAGCTACCCCAATCATGAGTAGTGGAGGTGGATTGTTCAAAGCAACAATGCAAGTAAACAGTTCTCTCCAAGGTGTATTTCAATCTCTTTGAGGCATAGTGCCATAGGTTCGCATGCTTAATGCTAATTGCCTTTGCAATCAAAGGACAGATAAAAAAAAAAACTCCCAATTTCCCCTCCCAGCAACAGTCTGCATTAACAGGAGTCATGGCTGCAGTGCAGCAGGTTTTTATGAAGCAATATTTCTTTTTAATAACACCACACACACACACACTCACATCCTTGAGCAAGCCACAGTGTACAGATCAGAGTTTAACCCTCGCAGGCCCCTGGGAGAGACAACTCCATGCTCCGGAGATCAAAACAAAATCTATTATTTCTATCCTGAAACCCTGCCATCGCTGCACTTTGGGCATGCGGAGAGAAATTTGACCAGTGCAATTTCCCTGCACTTTATAGGAAGAATTTCACTCCACTGCCAGGACATTAATCTGTTTAACTAGTGCATTATACATAAAAGTTTTAAACGGGGGAAAAAACAAGCACAATTGGTTTGTTGCAGCGAGATCTGGGAAAAACAATTTCTCAGAACAAAGACAGAAAGGCTTGTTCCAGCTCACACAGTACATTTTAGGGCTGTATTATACATACTGTAGGTGTAACCTCAGTGTTGTGTTTACATGCACACAGTATGTGATATAAATATAGCCGGTCCTCGAGAGTAATAGCCTGTCTCATGTTGTAGGTATTAGAGGATCTATAGTGAGCAGGAGCAGGTGCGTCATTTAGGTTACTGAGCTTGACTCACATCACAGATCATTCATTGCATTACAGTTGCATTCACCAATTTCCTCCAGCTGCCATCGCTGACACCCTTTAAAATGCAAATCCTGTAATCCAGCACCTCACAGGACTCAAATAGTCTCTTAAGTAGGCAGATGGCTTGCCAGGAGGAATGTATGTAGAAATGTAAGGGATTCGGCTTAAGTTATACGTAAAATGATGTGAGAGGTGCTGGTAGTGTATTAGCACATACTTGTCAATATCTAAAAGACACTGAAAAGTATTTAGCCATTAATTGATACGTGATACATGATTGTCAGTATACACAAGCAGTGTTTGAATACACAAAATTGAAGATGTCCTTTTTTACACTATCAATATCAACGGACCTCTGACACTAAGACCTTGACTGGCTAGTCTGTAAACTGCTCCAAGCTGCATGACTTAATAAACCATCAATAACTAGCAGGTTGCAGATTCCACACAAGCTTTCTTTCCATATGTTTGCCAATGATAGGGATGAAAAAGCATGACATTTTCAGAAAAGATGACAGCTTGGGTTTGCTATCGGCTAAAGTTAATGTCTTCGACAGTTGCCGCACAGCTCAAACGTTTGACGTGGTGTGCGAGACGTGTGACATGTTTACTTTCCTCTTTAAGTCTGTTGGCCGCAGGGTTTCTCGGGCGCTGCTGGAAATGATTTCACAGCAGAACCAGGTAGTGCCGTGAGGGCAAAGACATCAGAGAAACAACTTATCAGAAGAGATCAACCCAATATTAGGACAACTTTATACATATTATATAAATGTATCCTAACCAGAATATGAACTACATTCCCCTCTCCGGTCCTCCCATGAAGATTTATTTTTATTTACCCCTTTATTTTGTGCTCCATGTTCTATTCTGACTGTATTGGTTGGTTTTGCCACGCCAATGGTAGTCATTGCATGCTCTAAGCTCACAAAGTCTTCATTATTGTAACGCTTGTTCTCTTGCATTGGCAAACTCAACGATATATGCACCCCACTTTGTGCAGAATGCGTCTCAATGTCAAAATACTTCAGTAAAACATTGTGCGTGTGCCGTATTACTGCATTACTGTGCCAGGCTAGGGGGGAAGTGCCAACAGGAAATGTATCATCCTACTTTGAAGCATTAAAGCTTTTGTTCTTGTGCTTGAAAACAGACTGATGGAATCTCACACTTCTGATTGCTTAGGCTATAACTGTGTCAAAGGAAGCCACTGAAAATAAATTACGGTGTGTGAAAAAATGATGAGCAAACAACTGAAGCACTTAGTAGGACTTTCTATGTTTATGTTCATTTCCTAGAGGTATCAAACAATGCCCTAGCTTATAACGCAATCACTTACTGTCAAGAAAATGTTTTTCATGTGAACACACTGAAACTAGAGCATCCTCTTTAAATGGATCTCTCAAACTATGTGACTTTTTTGTCTTTTTGCTCCAGCATGTGAGGCTCCGAAAATAAATTGAGCAAATAATGCAAAAGAAGGAAAAAAAAAAGATATTTAACAGTTTATGGTAGCAGTAAGTTATCTCTATTTCTCTGCCATACTTCATCTGAATTGCTCTGCCTCTCTCTCTCCTTCCCCCGATGCCCACATCACTCCCCTGGGCACACAGACATATAATAATTCCTCACTACCATGGGTTGGTTTAATGTGTCATTCTTCTTTTTGTCTTGCAAATCATCCAAAATGGGCTTTTTCTTCCACATAGATTATGTATCCAACATTTATTTACCTTTTCTGGTAAACAAACAGTATATCTGAACTCCAGTGGTCTCCATCGGAAACATGCTTAAGTGATTTAATCAGTTGCAAAAATTCAAAAGATGTATTTTGAAGCAGGTGTTTTTTTTTTTACTAGATTCTCCAGACTGGAACATCTGTGAAGGTGTCCGTCTCCTGTCTATCAACATCCAAGGTCCTGAAGCAAGGGAATCAATATCTAACGCTCAAGTTGACAGCAGTAGACTCTGATTGCACTGTGAAGCTCCCACTGTGAATGTACTGCAGGGAATGAAGATAAAGTGAAAGCAGTGCTGATGAACAAGCAGCACACGTTAAAAAACATTGTCAATCAATGAATGAAGAAAGATGAATGTCAGCTGAATATAAAAAAAAGGATTTTTAAGCATTTGCTTTGATCAGCCTGTCAATATTTCATTGACAAGGTGTGTGCATGTGAATCAGACACAAAGTGTACATGTGCATCAAACAAGCAAACAAAATTGGATATACACGGTATCAACACAACACAACACATAGAGGTTAGAGCAGTTTTTCCCTCCCGAACAAAGTCATGTTACCCCACGGGGCTCCATCCCTTAGCGTTTGAACCTGCGTGTGTATCAATCTTCACCATTTCGTCAGTCTGACTGCACAGGTTTGTTTGCTTTCCCATACCTGTCAATCAAAGTGCAGGCTCGGATAGTAAAAAGCAAGCTCCTTCCTTTAGCTTCTCTTCCAGCAACTGTGAGGCTGTCACCTTTGGTTGTTCCAGAAAGTCTCGCCACTGCAGAGATGAAATGAAGTATTAATGGGCACCTCTACTGTGAAGGGAGGACAAGGACAGATTACTAATCTGATTTATGTGTGTGGTCTCCCCATCTTCCCGGATGAAGGTGCGCATTGATATGAGCAGAACGTACATGCGCTGTTTTATTACGGACTTTGATGGCGACAGTGGAAACAGGTGCGGTATATTGCAGCGTAGTGAAGCCTGACCTCTGTCTGGTGAAGCTCTGTGTGTGTCTTCTCCCTGAAGTGGTAGTTCTATTTGTCAATTCTGTTTGTCAAGGAATTCATTAAAACAACACTGCTTGTACCACTTGTACCTCGCCGACGGTCAGTGGCGGAAGAAGTATAATAGCTTTATAATAGTATAATATAATAGAAAATAAACGAGTATTAGCTGTAAAATGTACTAAACATTTTGTACTTTTAAAGGTTGGATGGCTTTCACACTAAAGAGAGGAAGTATTCCTAGGATCACACCATTTCTGTTCCAGTGTTCAGACATACTCTGCCCTTCTGGTCCTATCAAACATTAGTGTATGTAGCTGTTGAAGTTTATATTCAAACTTTGCAGAGGGTATGGTGATTAATAATATTCCAGTGCTTGTCTGAGCTTTCATGTGTGGAGCCTGATAATGTCATCTATGTATGAAATCACCAACCGTGTGAGATTTTTTTCTGCTGCTGGTTTGCATACTCAGTATGACTGGAGCCACTGCAACTGAAATCACTTGGATAGTTACTTTTTGATTTATATGTCAGACCTATAGCATAGATCCAGCCTACTTTTTCATGGAATTATTCAAGGCATTTCTCTGCTCCTCCTAAAAGATCATTCCTCACACTGTTGCACAAATCATGAAAAGCTGTTATTGCAGGGTAAACAGAGCATCAGCAGACTGGCTCAGCGAGAGGAATAGATGGAATCTCAGGTGTTTGATGTTGGCCGAGTGTGGCCCTTCCTCAGCGGCAGCTTCTCTGCCTTTTTAG